GTTGATACATATGAATACTTTTTCGTTAACTGTATAGGTTTTTCATGACTATAAAACATTGCCTTCCCTAAAAGACCGGCTATTATGTATCGACTGGTGGGGAGGGGGAGGGGGGATTCTAGGGTAGGATCACATGGTTTTCAGGGGGTTACGAGGCGAGAACATTCGTCACCAACAGAGTATAAAGAGGGACTATATAAAATTGACTGCCACCTGACTGCTGATAGGGTGGTTATAAGAATTTTACAGAACCTTGTGGGGAGACCAAGTAAATTGATACTTTCGCCGCTCCAAGCGATGAACGATGATCGGTCCCTTATTATATCTCATTGCAATTTCACCCAGGTAATGGTTCACCCGGACCACCAGGATTTTTTTACATACCTATCAACAGAAAGGCACGAGCTCAAACTTACGGAGCAAATATGCCACATCAACCACCTCTGCCAGGACGACCAAGAAAGGTAGATATAGACGTTAAAAAAACAAAAACAAAAACAAATACAAAAAAAAAACACCTCATCTGTGCTCAGTCTCCAGTTCAGACATTACTTTGTAATATTTAGCTCGGTTTAACTCTGTGAAAAACAGATACATGTTTTTTAGAGCTTTAGATTTTTCTTGATAGCATTTTGATATGTGTTTGTCTTCTATATTCTTTGTCTACTTTAAAAAGTGTTCCCGCTTTCAAAAAAGACAGGAAGACAGCGATGAAAGCAAACTCCACAACCATGACACGAAACTCGTGCCTGGACTATTTGCAGTTAGGCACAAGAAACTTTATGAACCAAGGGTAGATTTAGAAGTCGCCACTTGAGCCATGCCCCTTCTTTGTTTTCTGTGGAGTGGGGTCTTGCGATTTGCCACAGGTCACCCGTGTTTTGTAGCTATGTAGCGACGTCGTGTTCCCTTAAAAGTACATTAGCTTACCCTTTGAATCTTTCTCTGTAAGTTACTTAATAGAGCTACCTTTTTTCAATTCCTAGCGCTATGCAACAGTTGATGGTCAACTAGTAAGGCTAAACTCGCAGGGTTCGGAAGATTCTCGGAGTTCCCAGTCGACACAAAAGACGCACATCTCAAAACCGGAAGACCCGACGGAATGTGAATGCGACATAAGTGGAGTATCGAATATGAGTTATGTTAGTTACCTGGTGTGAGGAAAGTGGAGTTTTCAAGATGCCACGTCATTTCTTCCTCCTGATATGTAAAAATTTGAATCGAGCTCCCAATGATAAACTAAAGGACCTTGTACTATTGAGGTCCAAACGCATGTGCTTTTGTTTTGAATACTCGTAAACGTAATTTTAAAAAGATAGAGAGTATTTCAGACGTGTTTTTTACACAATGCAACCAACAGAGGTGTACTCGACTCAGTTTTTAACAACGACATTTTTCTTCGGAGGCTCGTTCTCGGTCAAAATCGTTTTGATGCCAAGGAGAATCGATTTGTTTTTAAAGTCATCAGATTGGGTCCTTTACCTTTTCGCTTGATTATAAAAGTATCAGGGAGTGTTCAAAAGCTTAAGGGTTGCATTCTTATCAAGTATCTTCGTTGAAAGAACGGGAGAGTCTGTTTTCATCATTTGCAAAGATGTTTACATGCTATTCTGTGCTGCATTCTCTAAATTCGCTTGCAAAGATTATATTTTTGCTGCAAAAGCATTCTACTGTACGTATGCATATATATTTTTTTCAAATCACGCATTCTGTAAATTGTTGCTTAGTCAATTAGGAAAATGAATGATCAGACAAGTCGTTTAACTCTGCAGAGCTTTCTTTTGTTTAGGTTTGTAATCATTTGTCTACATACCTAAATTAAAAAGAACTGTGAGCTCTGGTAAATCTTTTAAGCTTCTCCAAGACAATGGAGACTATTCCAGCTCTATTTGGGGAAAATGACAACTATTCGACTTTCAATTAAAATTTAATTTTTTTTTCTTTTAAGAAGCTTGTAACTACCTTGATACAAAGAAAATAAACATATATTGTTTAGGTCGGCAAACTGAACTGTTTGCCTTAGTTTTAGACACACCAGGATAAGCTTTGGTTGAAGACAAGCCAAGTGCTTGTTGTTGGTATTTCTAGACATCAACTAAAAGTACAAGATTTTTTTTTACACAAAAGTATATGTTAGGTCAATAATGATAAGCTATTACTGGCTTATTTTCCTGTGAAACCGTTCAGGAAGATCTTATTTTACTATAAGAAGAAGAAGAAGGTCATAGTTTTTCTCTTTCTAGATGCTTGTTATTACCTTGATACTAAGAAAAATATATATAATTATAAGTACAGTTCAAAATGACTAAAATGAAACACGCATAATTCCCTGTAACTCTGAGTTTATGCATACGGACGCGTCAAACATTAAATCTGTCTGAAAAGTGGGTAAGCACGAAATTCAGAGTTACAGGGAATCATGCGTGTTTCATTTTAGTCATTTTGACCTGTATTTCGCTCTAGACTCATGCGTATTGAGCACTTTCTAACAGCATTTGCTACAATTTCCCACAAGTATAATTATAAATATATTGTTTAGGCTGGAAAATTGAACTGTTTGCCTTAACTCTAGATACACCAGGATAAGCTTTTGTCAAAAAAAAGCCGAGTAGTTGTTGTTGGTATTTTTAACTAAAAGTACAAGACTTTTTTTAAAATAAAAGTATATGTTACGTCAATAATGTTAAGCTATTACTAGCTTACTTTCCTGTGAAATCATTGACGAAGGTCATATCTCTACTATATAACTCTACGTGGCGCATACCTAAAATCTATTTTGCATACTTTTAACATTAATTGTGGCTGAATCCATTCCAAATGAAACACAAAAAAAAGTGAGAACTTTTCAGCTGAGGAAGATTTTTCTATTGAGACATGGTTGGAAAGAGGAGGAGAAAGGGGGATGGGGTGGGTGGATCGGCCGTATTTGTAGAAAGATAGAGTTCCCCCCCCCCTGGTCGTTTTCCTTAAGCAGACCGTATTGATCACCTTTTGATATAGAAAAGCAAAGAAGAAAAATGAGATCTTCGTACTCGATTATTGACATGTAGAACGAAACGCCAGTTCGTAAAGATGTCTCCTCTGGTCATCACCAAAACCACTTTTAAGTCGAGTTTCTTATTTTCTTACATGGGCAGTCCCTATGTAGTTCCAAATCACCAAGGTATGGGAAAATACGGGCCGAGACTCTCTTTACAGTAAAGTGGTTAGGTTACGAAGCAAGATTCAAAATGGTGGCGTTTTTATTGTCAAATTCTTTAGGACATATGAACAGTATGAATGAGTTTTTTTCAAAGGCCAAGTTACACTTTCGAATCTCAAACCTCGGACAGCGTTATGATGACATAGACGCTTTCTAATTTGCGGAGATGGAAGTTACATAACGTCCTTGGATCATACTTCTCCATTAACTTGTAAACCTCCAATTCATGTACTAGACCAATTTTCCTGACTCATGTCCGTAGATATCTAATGATGGCCACTTAGAAATACATTCATAATCAACACACAATATTTGGCTCTCATTTCAAAACCATAACAATAACTTTTCACAGCATAAGACAAGACTCAGCGTGCTTATACTTATTATTGATAACTTGGATTGTAAGGAAAAGTTGCATTTGAGTGTCGAATGTAATTGGGAATTGCCTTGGCTCTGCTATTACGAATCTTAAAATACACTCTTGTAACTTGGCATTCAATCATTTTCTACAGAATAGACTTCATCTAACTATATAACTATATAAATATTCAAGGAGTTGAATCTCAATTTTTTTATCTTGACACGCGTCAAAGGTTACCTAAAATGGGCTGAAAGTGTTGTCAATTCTTCACTGAATTCTTTATCGCTTGAAGAAATTATAATATAAAAAAATGTGCTTTACTCGTGGTAAATATTTTGTACGTGCTATTGAGGCGCCTCGTACCGCGTCGCCACTAGGAAAAAATTTCAAGGAATTTATCTAGTTCTACCTTTGCAATGATAAGCCGAACAAACCATGAAATGATTCAGTCCAACTTATTTATTAATTTTTTCTGTGTAGTTGGGCGAGATAACTTTCACAATTTCTCTCTCCACCCTTGAGTATAAGTGGAAACTAAGAAACAACTTGGTGCATGTATAATATCTACAGGTTACGTCTGTATTAAACCTAATGTTTGCTGTTTATGAGGACTCAGCAAATCTCTTTAAGCATCTCGAATCTTTCTTGATCCTTTTCTTTATTTTAAGTAATGTTGTTGACGCTTGATCCTGACCGTAATCGGCCTCTGAGATTATGAGATAAGGTTTGAATTTTTTGAGCAGAAAAACTGGCTTTTTTATCGATTCGCAAGAGATTCTTCGAGGCGGACCAGAAGTCGCTTTTGAAAAACGTGTAGAGCAGGGGGTTGGTGAAAGATGTGATGTATCGAATGATCATAAATCCCTCTAAGACATTGAACAATACTGGAACTCCCATAGCAATGTAGTACATGGTAAAGTAAGCGAGCGAGCAGCATGCATATAGAATCGCCATGCCTAAAAAAACAAAGATACACTTCCGGTCACTGTTGTTTTTCTTCTGGTTCCGTGGCATGTCATTTTGAGCCATCGATGGTCGCTGCCTATTATTTATCACTCTGAACATGGCTATGAATGCGTAAATCATAAATATATGCGGTATGAGGAACACTGCAACAATGCAAACTGCAGTATGGATGGTCTGCCAACGCTGAGATGCTTCAGTATCTTGCCAAACAAGAGGAATGACAACAAAAACCATAGAAATGATCCAAACCCCGAGCACAATTTTCAAAACCAAACTCTTGGTCACCACATAGTGTTTTAGTGGACGGACAGTTGCCAAGTACTTGAGAGCAGTAATAACGAGTATGTGATAAGCACCTGAAACAGCCAGTAATGTATGTGAGGCGTATATCCCATAGTGCAATTCTTTTGGCAAAATTGCAAAATTATAAACGATGAAGTATGGTATGGCAATAGCACCAGTGCAAAAGTCACAAACTGCCAGACTAAGAAGCAGATAGTTTGAAGAAGTGCGAAGACGGGGACATCGGTAAAACAAGACAAACACGAGTCCATTAGCCAGAACTATTGCTATGGCAACTGGAAGAAGTTTGCTCAAGGCCTTGACTCCATCGTCGGAGTGTTGCTGAGGAAACTTTGAGGTTGCATTGCTGTTATTCACGCTTACTTCCATTGAAACGACGAATGAATACGAAAACACTGAAAGAGGACAAAAATGAAACAATTTCATCACAATTCTAGAAATAAAGGGTCATTCTTTGAAATCTCAGTGTTATAATGTTAAAAAGATGTTCTTTAACATCGCAGAATTGAAAATGACTGATTTCCAGGGCCTACATACTCCATTGGAATAAATTGACTTCCTGTTTTTTCCCAATATTCGCTGCTTCAGGTAATGTGGTTTTAATCATCGTTGTGGCGTATTCGATATCAACAGCCGAATCTTGATCAAACTTAGTAGTAGCTGAGAGAAAATCTAAAGTATCTAATGACATCAAATAACCAAAATTAAAGTCCTTTACCTTTCCGGCTTCAGAACTGATTAAGGCGTTTCTATCCCTTGGGAAGTTTCTATTACAGTCAGTTGTTTTTGTTAGAGGTTGCTTAAAAGTAGTTTTGAAAATCAAAATGTCCGACAGAGAAGAAACCAGTGAAACTTGCAAATAGGCCTTTTGCAGCTAAGCCATCACGTGACCTAATTTTCATGAAATTATGGGCTATACTTAGCCGAATTCAGAAAAGGAAAAAGCATTTCGAAAATAACAAAATGGCCAAGTTTGAGGCCTCCATTATTCAAAAATGAGATTTGACGACACTCTGAATTTTTTAATAAATAAGAAGGTTTATATGGTAAAAGTTGCTGGAGAGCAAGGCCTTGCTCTCCAGCAACATTTTCCATACAAATCCTCTAAATTTTCCGAAAGTTCAAACCATTGTATAAACAGTGCTCTGTAATTCCCGGTCCCAAACTTGGCCGTTTTGGTATTTTCGATATGCTCTTTCCATCTCTGGTATTCTTCAACTTGTATCCCATAATACATATCTAAAATTGATCACGTGACCCCAGCTGCAAAAGGCCTATTGAAAATTCGACTTAAGTGCTCGATGACAGAGATATTTTCATTTTTATAAGATCTGATATAAGATAACAAGTTATGTGTAACGCCAATTCCATTGAAACAAATTTTAGGCGCATAACCATTTCCTTACAGTAAAAAGATGTAGTTAGTGGAACAGGTTATTTACCAAGCTTTTAGGCGCCATTATTTCATAATCACTTCCTTCATTTATTTAGAGATTGTTTTTCACCAAGACACAAGTTGAGATTCAATCTGGGGACTTGTTCTTACTTGCTTCAGAATTTATACAATCAACGTACTTTACAACCCACTATGTACTAAAGAACTCAGATGCACAGCAGTTCAAGAAAAAAAAAGAGCTTCGACTTCCTCAACTTCAATGAAAAGTCAATATTCAATCTGAGTGAGAAATATGTTAAGATGGCTTATCATGCAGACGACCAATCGTCGAGAAGATACTAAATTTACTAACCTATTCAAAATTCAGCTGAAGGTTTTTTTTAACTATTTCAGAAGGCAGACAGAAGGAAAATCAACGAGTGTCTTCATTGGAACATAAACGAATAAAAGTTTAATGACGAGACAGTTAACCCTAGAGTAAGTTATGTGATTGAGCTCAGCTAGGACTTTCCTGTTGTCTAAAGAAGCATAAACTAAAATAGGTTCTTTTTTTCCAAAGTTATATTTCTTATTTTTCATCGTGACGTTTGTGTTTAAACTGAGTCTGTTGGGGTTGAATAGACCAGTGTAAATTACAGGGGAAATGAATGGTGACAGCTTTTAATAAAAGATTCTCCCAAGAGTGTAAAGAATGCATGTGAATGATCAAGGATCCTGAGAGTGAAATTATATTAGGAAAAAAATAACGTTTGTCGTTATACAGCTTAGAACTTCCTGTTACAATTGCTAGAGATCTGTTATATTAATTAATTAAATCTGTTGGCTGGTATTGTAAAAGGTAGAGTTAACACACTTTAAGCTGACTGTATTGACAGTCTCTTAGTTAATACCAAGAAAAAAATGACACGTCTGAAAATTAAAATTTATCCATATGTCGCCTCAAAGAATGAATGAGGCTATGGGAATAGTAAGATAAGATTTAAAAATTTTCAACCTTCTGGACCTACCTTGATCAAAGAGTCCTTTGGTTTGGAGGAAACGAAGAGGCCACTTTGAACACCAAAATCAACGACAGAGATTTTATTTTTTAACATATTAAATTTTATATGTAGAATGAAGCTTAACTGACTGATTGTTCCGTTTAAGCCCTCATTTATCCCTGCGCGATCAAAATGAAAGAAACTCTCGATTCGAATTCCCCAAAGAGCTCCCAGAGAAGGAAAAAGTTGATAAGCTTTTGCGTCAGGAAAAATTGCAGCGACAAACTTAATGGATTTCTCGAGATCTCCCAACATCCCGCGTGCTTTATCAGCCGATAAATCGATAAAAGGGTGATTTATTGCTTGAATAAAGATGTAAGGGTAAAATTAGGAGAGAAGTTGGGTTATAGATACGACACTTGCGGGAAAATGCTATTTTGATACCTCAATGATCAGTTCAACCTAATTGAGGTAACCGAGACTTCCCTCCTTATCTTTTCTAGTACAGATTTCTCGAACGTGATTGGTTATCACCAGTCCGATCTTTTAGGACAGACATTTATTTTATTCTGACTACTTTGTTTTTGGTAGGTCCAACCTCTATGATTCCCCGCTTACTTACAACCTAACAAGGACTTCGAAGCTCCTAAATGTTTTTCATATTGTTAATAGAATCATCCTGCTATGCCAACCAGCTGTTGTTAAGTCTAAAAGCAGAATTTTTTCGACACACGCAATGTTTTTATCACATTTACATGGAATCTTGTATATGTGAGTCCAAGAGTGTGATTCTTAGTAATGAAACTTCACAAAACCATGTTTTTCTAATGAGAACCGCGCTGGTATTGTCGCTTTCTTTATGTAATACCAAGTTGATAATCTCACACATGTTTGCCATATGCACGACACTCGAATACTCAGTGTCGCCACGTTTTATGTCTTATTTTTTAGCTCGGAGCACATAGGTTTCTGATATTATTTTACCATTTCTTATATAAGTTCCAGCGAATTTTATATTAGTTTGAGATGAACACTTAAGCAGAACAAAAACAATAACTTCAGCTTGCTTTGTTTTCCTATACTAGCTCATGCTTAAATCTGAGCTACATCTGTACTACTAAAAAGCATGTGGTTTTTTTAATGACGTGTAAGTCTCGTAGTTATATTCGATTCTCACGCTTTAAGTATCCATCACAGCTAGATTACCCATAGATGCTAAACCTTCACCTATGTCGACCCTCAATTCTTTTCTCTCCGACATGTTCAGTTAAATAACTAAAATCTAAATTAAAGAAATACTCGAAAATGCATATAAGGATTAATGCGATTTTGACAAACAATGGCTTCTATTCCGGCTTTTAAAAATTGTATATAAAGATTTACCACTTACCGTGAATGAAGTTTCTAAAGGAGAACTAGATATTTAAAAGACTGTTTCCAAAAGTGCCAAAAAAACTTGACGCTATCACTTTCAAATCATCTACTCAGCCGAAAATGCAAAACCTAAGTGCCCGTTCACAAGGAGATTCTGCTCTGCTTATCGCCAAAGCGGACGTTCAACTAGTGTCGTTCATTATGAAATCGTTTGGCACATAATGCGTCATAATGACATGGGTAGATGGAAATCATAAGGTCATTTGGTCATGCTTATCTCTTAACTTTAAAGCCACCGCTGCATGTAGCAGACTGTTTTTCATGTCTCGCATTCATAGATACTTAACGAGAGCCACAAGTTTACATTCATAATCCATAACATTCTAGATGTTTAATTGCAAATTGTTAATCCTGAAAAGCGTAAGAGGACATTTCAGTGAGCACAAACTTTTTAAAACGGCTGCTTCCAATAGCGATTTCAAAAATTTACTGAATTCTGTATCGCTCGAGGAATATAAAATGATATCATACAAAGCGCCATGAAATCATTTGTTTTTCATTTGGTACATGTTATTGGGGAGCCTATTTGTCACCATGAAAACAACGTCAAGGCGTTAAACCAATCCTATCGTAGCAATTGAATTAAGCTTAAGGAGCCAAAGTTTGAAGCGATTCAGTCCAGCTTATATATCAATTTTTGTGCTGTGTTCTTGGGCAAGTCACCTTCACAAAGTCTTTCTCCACGCCTGAGGTTAAACGGAGACTAAAAAACCAGTTGGAGAATAATTGATATCTGCACGTTAGGTCTTAACACATAATGATTATTGATGCAAGATCTCTTTATATGCAAAACTAAATCTGCTTTCTTTTTTTTATGCCTGCAAGCAGTTAAACGTGGCTTGTATGAAATGCCTCCTCACCAAAGATCACGTTTTCATCGCGTTTCATTCTTCATTCTCCTTGCCTTTTGCTTTCGAGTGAGCCAACCTTCTGCTGTTGACAGTTGGTCTTGACTGTAGTCGGCCAGTGAGTTTAGGAGATTGGGTTTGAATTTCTGTGCAGAAAGATTGGTTTTCTGTGTTCTTCTTATATCCCATAGCGCAATTATTTTAGAAAAGTTGAAAAAAATTATAAACAAGGAAGTATGCAATGGCGATAGCACCCTCGAAGGTTAATTAAATTGAAAACTAGTGTATCTCGTGAAAATGTTCACATTATAAACTACTTAGTGTTGGATGTTCATTCTGCCGCCATCGTAAGACAATGTGCTTGTGACGTGATTATTTTACTGTTTTGGCATTCGTATCACTTCGGAACTTTAAATGTAAAAACAAATTCAAGGAGCACCCACCTGAATATGGAATTTTTAATTAAAAGAAAAATATGCATTTGTATTTACTGGATATGAATTTGGTTGAAGCGTACTCTGCGCTACGCAGCTCATTGGATATTTATTATCTGATATCCAATGCCCGCTCATTGAATAACTAATAATCAGTTGTTTCCAATTTCTGTTACCGTCAAATCTCCTTCACGGTGCTGTGTGGGATTTTAAAGTCTTAACAAAGGTGTCTCTTAAAAAAAAGTCAGCCAAAAGATTTAATTCACGGAACGGGAAGTTGTAATTTTAATAAAACACTTCGAATATATGGATGGTCATTTAAAACTTAAATTAACTGATAGCATCAGTTAAGTATGTCGCTCTGAAAAGTAGAACCACATATACTTTTAAAATAATTTCCACGCACGCGATATCAAATTCTGACAAAATATCACTAATGACGAAAGAAAAGAAAGTACTCGCAGAGGATATTTACACTACGTTTTAGGGAAAATGGTGTTTCAATATAACTATTTGTCTTCTTAAGAGCATTACAACAGTTGTTTTCTGTCCAATTTAAGCTGGTCCCGTCGACCTCAACAGTTAATGTTCTAAAGAAGACACTCGCTGCATTTTTTTTTTCTACCTCCTCAAATGGCTAAGTAGTTCTTTGTTTTAATTTTGGGCTTGAAAGTAAATTTTTTCTTCTCAGCGATTGATCGGCTGCATACTAGGTCATCTTGTCGTGTACGGACTTAGATCAAATATTTACATTTCTTTCAAATTGAAGGAATTCGAAGCCTTTTTTTCCTTAATCGCCTTGCATCTAAGTTTTTTAATTGCATGATAAATCGTTGGGCAAGTGATCTGCTTTTAAGCTTTGATCATGAAATGATCATCACGCGATTAAGAGCAAGTTCGTAGATTGAATTTCGATCAGGAACATCCTTTTCTTTTTTGTAAAAAAAAAATGTTTGAATTAAGAAGGTAATTTATACATAATTGGGAAGAAAAACTTGGTGAGTAACTTGATTTAATCGCTACAGCTTTCTACTTTAAGGATATGATTCCGCACCTAAAATTAATTCAATAAAAAGGTATGTTTCCTGAAATCTAATACAAAATGAAACTATCTATGTAATGGAGATCGTATTGCAATTTAACTTCTCAAAAGGACATTTTGATTTGCAGAAAAACCTACTTTCAACCTACACGATTAATAGTTGACTGTAATACAAACTTCCTGACGGACGAAACACCTTGTCCAGTTCTAAAGGAAAGGTTACGAGTTGTATTTTAGTTTAATTCTTATCACTAGATACGCTTTTCCCCAAATGTTCACATATTTTCTCAGTTTTCGTTAAGTTTGATAAAAATTTGGATGTTAAAACTTTTCCACCCAAAAATAATGAAATCCATATTATATCTGAGGTAGTGAATGAATGTTGTGGAAGAAAAACAGGAAGTCAATTGATTTCAAAGGAAGCCATAACTTTCATCTCCGCGAGTCAAAGGTACATCCAGAAATTTGACAGTGAGATTTTAAAGAATAACCTAGGTATTATGTCGGATTGTGATAAATAAATTGCTGTTTATCTGTGACGTATTAAGCCTTACTCCTTTTTAATTTTTACATTTGCTTTTGAAATTGTGGCTTCCATAATTGAATTTTAGCTCTTTTCAGACAAATGCAAATGTTGCGAATTGGAATTCCAAATTATTCCCTACAGCAAGTTTCCATAAGCCCGTTTTTAATTTATATTAGTGAAGGAAATACCCACCATTTTTGAACTCTACTTCGGTGAATAAAATGTTTAAGAGTAGAGATA